GCCACACTCCTCCCTACGGAACACGTATGGCTGCATACATTTCTAGTCAAAAGACATCCAGCGCATATTTACAGCATGACTCATTTTCCGAGAAGGAAAAAAAAAAAAAAAACTAGAAATAAAAATAAAAGCATGTTTTCTCCATCACCTTGTTTTATTACCAAATCACACCTATTGATAGTGAGAGAAGCAGAGTGATGGTTCGCTCAGTGTGTGGCCAAGAGCTGATGAAAAGGCCCAATCACACGTCTCTGATAATGGAGTCGTCTCCGTCTCATAATGATTGGAATTGAGCGCTATTGAAAAGTAAACAGAGGATACGCTGATTGCCCGCCCGTGCAAGACTTTCACGCTTCAGGCAAGTCGCGGCGGCGGCTCTTATCCAGAGCAGCGTGTCCGAGATCCACTAAACGACCTCGACCGAAGTTGGGAGCTCAGTAGCTGCGCAGACATTTCAGTCGTGCAGGTTTTGAATGATTTTAATGATGGAAGAAAAGTAGATACACAGGAAAAGCCGGACTCCGCTTGCATCTGCAGAGAAAAAATGGTGGACTGGATGTTGAGTCCCTAAAAAGGATTTATTAGTTTACTGTTTAAGTGGGTGTGAGAGCGCCACTGCTCCAGTGTCATTAGAGTCTCCATCTACACTTATGCCTCTCTTTTGCCGTCTTATTGAAGAACCCTCTGATGTGCTTACTCTCACGTCTTGTTTACCAAACTGTTTCACTCACTGGGAGCTCTGGTCTCCTCTTTTAGTTTTTTTCTCCATCTCATCAACTCTCTGCCGTCCCCTGGTCCGTCACGCAGGGCTTGCTGTCTGAGATCCTGCGCAAGGAGGAGGACCCTAAAACGGCGTCACAGTCGCTGTTGGTCAACCTGCGCGCCATGCAGAACTTCCTGCAGCTGCCGGAGGCCGAGCGTGACCGCATCTATCAGGATGAGAGGGAGCGCAGCCTGACAGCCGCCTCCGCGATGGGCGCCGCTCCACTCATCAGCACTCCACCCAGCCGTCCTGTACAGGTACCAGATGTTAAATTCCTCTCCGTGAATGTTTTCCTGTGGTTATCCTGCATTTTTCTTCCAGATAACTTAATATCCTGAATGTGAGTTTGGTGGATGTCAGTAACGGACGTGTCTTAGAGACAGAGCTGATCCATGAGCAGAAACATACTTTTGTTTCTTCCCTTTGCTCCTGAGTCCAGCAACGTGTCTCCACTGACGCTGTGAGATTATTCTGGAGGTTTGTCTGTTTAAAGTAGGTCACAAAAAAGGAAGAGACATCCTCTTCAGTAGGTCGTCCCACTGTGGTTAGAACATGAGACGTACACACAGGTTTCCAGTTCAGATGTACAAACCACCAGCTCGTCTCCTACGTTGATGTGATGTCATTAGCACACTCTGTTTACACGTGACGATCAGAAGTATGCATACACGCACTGGATCAGTGTTTAGTCACATGCCTCACATTCCTATGCATCAGTTTGTCTGATGTGGAATATCAACATTATCGCCGTCTGGAGTTCATCCTTTACATTTCCCCATGCATGTAAATGAGCTGCACGTCCTCCCTCCTCTCACCACACAGGTGAGAATGGTGCACAAATGATGGATAATTTTCTGTGCTAATTTTGACCTTTTCTCACGCATTAGGCGGCATTAACAACCCTCCCGTTTCAAAAAGAAAGCTCACTTGGTGATGACAAGCTCTGTAAAAGATCAAACATCATTTAGTCAGTGCCTCTTAAAATCACCGCGAGCCGCGGCACAACCTCGTACGCTCGCCGCAGATATCCCTCCCTGGTTTTAAAGGTACGAGTGGAAACTTTTCAACCAGTTAAGCCTGTTTGAGATGCAGTCAGCTGAGTCGAGGAGGTGAGAATGGCGGACAAAGGGCTCCTCTGTCCCATCCTTGGTGAAGATTTGGCTTTTCTCTAGGTGAGAAGAACAGAGGGACAGAAACACAGGCCCAGCCATCTCTTAAAGTCGGAGGCTCCCCTGCAGTCGCACACAACTAAGGAGTCTCATTCTGAGGCAGCGGTGCTGAACTTAAGCGGGGCCACTTTGCAGTTCACAGCCCATCTTTACAATCAGAGGTTGTGTTAATGCAGGACATTATTCAGAGTGATAGAGTGGAACTGTGCACAAGAATGAATAACCCAGTGTTAATGCCTTTATTAACATCCCAGTGGCAGAGATAGGGATTTGGAGTTACGACTTTTTACGTTTTCGATAATCACATCTGGTGATCCTCGTCTTTTTCGCAGAATTCATGTACGCAGCATATCTGAGAGCAGCTTACAGATTCGAAACAAATTCAAGCCGCACAGTAAACGATGCCACACGGAGAACAGTCTATTTCATCAGAACGATCAAAACCCTCTGGTTTGTGCTTTTCTATCCTGTCGGCACATAAGTTCGGTTTCTCCAGGCCCGATATAACCTACCTGTGTAACTTTAACCCATTAACATTTATCATGTCAGACCTGTTCCTGCACAAGGCAGTTCTCACACGCACACCCACGAACACACACACACGTCTGCACACTCATACACCTGGCCATCTGCCAGCCTCTCCTATGGAGCAATGCGGTGTGAATTTAAGCACATAAATCAGCCAGGGTGGCAATTGAGCTAGAGACAGAGGAGGGTTTTTATTGGCCTCATAAAAACAGATGCAGAGGTATGTTTCTCTCACGTGTACTGATGGGTCGGCTCTACTCCCCCAAAGCCAGTTAGTGCACGTCCCAGCCTTAACAATTAGCTTGACATGGTAACCTACCGCTCAGACTGACAAGCCCACGTCGAGCCGTCGTAAAACTGGATGAAAGGCCCAGAGTCGCTCCGACATTCCACTTTCACCACAAATTTTAGGATTATGTGATTGACTTGAACACATGAAGGGTCTCGTATTAGGAGTCTAGACAAATACTTGAATATATATGTTTTTTTTGATCACCGGCTCCGTCGCGAGTTAGTCGCTGTTGGTGTTATTATGGTTTATTTGCATACCATGTACTCGCACTCAAACCCAACCCTGTCGATGCCTCTTTTCAAAAGGGCTCGTATGAAATGATTCATATGCTAATGGGTCGTGGGTAACGCTTTTATTAGGATACTTGTTACGTTGTGAAAGGATTTTTGTCAAGATGCAACAAGACGCTCAATGAAGATGATTTGATTTCATTAGACTTGCATTTATTTTATAATCACCAGCTTGACATGCGAATAATAACATTTCATACAACATGTTTGAGTGTTTTTCAGTGGAATAGCCACTGTGCCGTGCATGGGTGTAATCTGGGTGCGTGGATGCCTGTGCGCTTTGCCAGATTTCCTTTTTTTCTTTTCGTCATGTGAGTCTGAACAAATATGTTTGTGTTGTTTTCCCAACGCCGCAGCCCCGGAGGGAAGACTGTAACAGCGTGAGGCCCGAGGACTGGAATCCCCGGATCCCTGTGGGCATTTCCCCTGTGAGCAGATAACTCCACCCCTTCACCAATCTGAACTCACACATTTTAATAGACCATGCACATTCTGGAGCTTATCATTTCCCAACATGCAATTCTGCATGCCGTTTTACATGTTTGTGAAGCATTAATAAGAGCAACACGTGACTTTAAAGTGCGAGGCTAATATTTGCATTGTTTTTTTAACTTGGACTAACTTTTAATCACATCTAATGATTAGATTTTGTTGACTGGAGCTTGTCTGTGAGTGTTTAAGCCTAAATTGTCGGCAGAATGTCTTGATAATATAAAGAGAAACCTTGTTCAGTCACACAACAGCAGCAGTATTTAGTATTAAGTAAATACAGACTGTCACACATGACTCTGATAATGTTAGAAAATGATTTTAAGGTCAACTACATTGACTCTGTCCTTGCACTCAACCAAAAATCACATACATAAGAAGATTCAATATCTGACAATTGTGTTTCAGGTTTAAATTTCCAAAAAAAACGTGGAGAAACTTGTAGCTGATGTTTTCGATTCCTTTAACAGGTGAAACCGTCGCCTCTGCCGAGCGAGTGGAACGGCAAGACGGAGAGCTGCATCCTCAACATCAACTCCACCATCTACGACGAGATCCAGCAGGAGATGAAGCGGGCCAAAGTTTCCCAGGCTCTGTTCGCGAAGGTGGCTGCCTCCAAGAGCCAGGTACCTGAACACTCAAGGAAGAGCTCAGTTTAAAGCAGGGACAAAGATTTGCAGCAAACCAAAAAAATCCTGACGTTACATATCGACTCTACAAAAAGCCTTTTTGGTGTTTTCCTGTTTTCCATCATCGCTATTTCGGTGTCTTCTTCCAGAAAACCCGATTGGCCATTTACATGCAACATGAAAGGGGCACTCTTTATTTCTTTTTACACAACTGAAGCTGACAAATGAAACATGGTCTTTATTCCTCATCCAAAAGAAATTGAATCTTGACCTGATTTAATGCACCTGAACTGTTGACACACACACAGATGATAAAAAGGAAAAGAAGTCGAAACAGAACCTGACTCGGTGCGTCACTGCGGTCGTTTAGCGGCATAATGACACATGTCTTCTTTATTATGGGTTTGGAGTTTAACAGTCGACACGGTTTCAACACCAAACAAACCTGTTTATATTAGCTCAGCAAGGCCATGGGGGCCCCTGTTATCTTCCTCCAGAAGAGCAGGGAACTCACACAATACAAGCTTGTGTGTGTTGGAAACAGGGGGAAGAAGAGAAAACACGGCACAGAGTTAAGTCTTTATTAAAAGCAATTTAAAATTGTGGCACTAAGGAGCTATTATTAAAGGTTTTCATTTGTCTATTGGAGGCAGAGTTGGGAAGATTTCCACAATCGTGCCTGATGAAAAAGATGGGGGGAGAAATAGATCACCAAGGGCGGAATAATCTAGAAATATCTGCAAAGGCTTTATTTTTTTCTTGCTGATTAGGATGATTATACCCCCAGATAGCTTTGTTTTACCAAATTGCAGTTTGATGCACAAACCACTGTTTTTGTTAAGGAGTTCAAAGACTCCGTGGAAGGATGGGGGAAGAGAAACGTGGAGAGCGAGGCGGTGGCAGCATTAACTCAAACGTGTCTCTCTTCTCAAATGAAGGTTTGTCTGGGAACAGGTTTCCACCGTGTCTTCTCCACCTCCCTCCCATCTCTCTGTCTTGCCCCTCTACCTCTTCGCTTTCCCCCGATTTCTGCCTCTCTTTCACGTTCCATTCATGGCAGGCGAGTGTGAATGTGAATTGAGCAGCAGATAAGAAGTGTGCTAATTATGCCTGTGAAAGGGGGCCTGGGAGAGCACTTATCTCTGGCTCCATCTCGTAATGGGCGCTCCCCGGGCAGCTGGTCTCCCCCCTTACTACCCAGCCGGCGTTGCCACATCTACCAGCAATGCCAGGCCAGCGGCTGCTCCTCCCCATCAGGACCCCTGAACCCTGAAAATCACCGACTAGCACCCAGTTCTCATTCACAGTTTCCTCAAAGAGCTTCTAAAATCCTGCACCAGGCCTTATTTTCGGTTTTATTTAAAGTGGGACAAGGTCACGAGTTTACTTTTTCTGCTTTTCCTTCAATGTTGTGTCATTTGCCCCTTGGAGACAGAAGCTTGTCGTTGTTTTGTAGACAGCAGTGGCGCTGCGACAACTCATCAAATAATTGATTCCTTGATTGTCAGAAAATGCAATGGAAGCTATTTTTCTAATCAGTTAATTGAGTCACTTGTTAAGCATTAATGCTTCTTCCAGCTTCTGAAACTTGCTGCTTGTGTGTGTGAATCGGACGTGTTTTGGGTTTTGGACGGTTGGTCAAACAAAAGAAGCAATTTGAATACGTCTCTTTGGCCTGGGACAAATTGTGAGTGTTTATCTGGCAGAATTGACGATTGCAGACCGGGTTCAAACTGTTAAACGCTGTCCGTAGAAAAAACATACTACAAATAACAGTGTCAGGTAGATGAGGTGATGTAAGGTTCCTGTGAAAAGACGTCATACGTTTTATTTTAGAAACAGCTAAAGAATAAATATTGAATCCCATCTTCCGCTCACTCATGCCCCCAGCGAAAGATTTCTTCCATAATCGATACGGTGAGGACGCTGCAGAAGTTTCCAGATTAAAAGGAAGTTGCACACACACCAGATACTGCAGCTCAGGTTAGCTCCTCATTTCTGCTTATTCACTTCACACAAGCTTCCCGGTGCTGGCACTAAGCAGGCGATCGCTTCATGTGACCAGAGAATTCATGTCACCAGAAGGACATTTTCGTGAGTGTTCGGTAAATCAGTGTTAATTGTTCCTGAGCTCCTGGTAGTTTGAAGGAAGAATGGCAAAAATGTACATTTAAATGAAACCGCGACAAAAGCCGGGGTCCACAGAGGGTTGCAGCCTCGCAGGAAGAAAATAACCACCATCCAAGCCTGAGGTAGAGCACCATGCCAGCAGAGACTGCTGCCACTGAGCTGGGGAGTGCAGCGTGGATGTGGTTGGTGATGAGGATGGAGGATGGGCTGGACTGGCAGCATGCCCATATGGGGTCCGGGAATATAATTGTTGGGGGAGGGTGCGGAAGAGGCCTCATCACGGAGGCTGGTTGCCGTCCTGTCAGCTCGCGGTGCAGTTCAACCTCTGCCTCTTTCGGCTCAGCTTGGGATTTCCCAGCATTCATTCCAGCCCGCTTACGCAAGCACGGGATCAGGCGACCTGGATCGGCTGGTATCAGTCCCGTATGTTTTCGGGTGTGTGTACATCATGTAGCGTTTCGGTGTTTGTGCGTTGCACGTTCGCCTCATTCACAGCGAGACAGATTAAACGGCTCAGACAGGAAGGAGAGAACCGGCGGAGAACGGAGTTGACGGAGGTCACAGGCAGCAGTGGTCTCCAGGGTGGAGAAGCAGTAAACAGGAGTTACCGGTTGGTGTGTGCTCCACTGAGTGTGCGCTTAGGTGTGTGTTTATCCTATATATAGATGTGTGTGTTTTTTTTTACGTGCATCAAATATATGTTTATGCGCAGGGATATTTGAATGTGTGTGTCTGTTGGTGTGCTGGGGGGTTCCTGGAATGCAGCCACGCTGTCCTCTCTTAGGACTCGTAACCACAGCAGGCCTCTGCCAGCCCTTAACTGCCCCACCTCCCACCCCTCCTCTCACGTATTCAATGTTGCATTTCAATCACACTTTTACTGCCACAGTCGTAACTGTAGAGCAGCGACTCCCACCCAAACTCCATCAGATTAATGGCTGCCATTCACTTCAAGTTTGAACATACAGGGGTTTTTTTTTTTTAGCAGTCCAGCCATTCTGATTTATTACTACACATATATTTACTCTAAAGATCAGAATTATTATTCATGATCCGTCCAACAATGACTCAAGCTGATCTGATTCTCCAAGAACACTTCAGGAGATGTCAGACTTGGAGAAAACAACTCTGCGCCACTGGTTCCAGTGATGTCACTGCCAGAAGTGGCTGCATTCGCCAAACAGCCCATTTCGTCTTAGCCTGCAGAGGTGCAAGCTATGATCTGGATCGCCCGGCAACGCTGGTGTCAACATTATTAACTGGCTCAGTAGGATTGGAGTGCTATTTTGTGAGCTAGCGTGCTTTGTTCTCATTCATGTTAATGGGGGAGGCTTGCTGTGTTGGCTAGCCTGGCAGAGAGGGCGGCTAATGTTCAGTTGAGTGATGGGAGGTTAGCCGAGGGTGGGGGCGGAGCAGCTCGGGGGCAATCCTTTGACACAACTTCTATGTCTAAACATCCTCGACACTTCCTGAGAGGAATGGCACAGCGGATGGAATCAGAGTCCCCGCTGTCGTAAAACAAGCACCCAGGGAGCCCGCCGCACTGCGGGGCTCAAAGCCCTCCGACTCCTCAATGACCAGTAGAGTACAGAACGCAGCCGCTGCCACCGACGCCGCTGCCCTCCCTCCCCACGTCTCCTTCTCTCTCTGTCTCTCACTCACTCGCTCATTCTCCCCTGGAAGAGGCTACACTAATTAGCCAGGCTCTAATGAGACAGAATGGCACTGATCTGGTCCGCCGCTGCGCCACCGGGGGGGCCGGGGTGGGGGGGCTGGTGCAGTAGGGGGGTGGTGGTGGAGGGGAGAGTGGCGGTGTGTGTGTGTGTGTGGGGGGGGTTGGTGTATGCCATCTGTCACCCTGCACCCGCCTGGCACGGCAGTCCTTGGAGGGGAGGGGGTGGTGATGCTGCGGGACGGGGGAGTGGAGCGAGTGGCTCGTTGGTATGGAGAGGTGGGGAGTGGGTGGAGGTGGGTGGAGGTGGGTGGAGGTGGGTGGGGACGCTGACACGAGGAGGGAGACAAGGTGACGGACAATCAACCGCTTCCTTGAAAAATGACAGATCTCCTGTTTAAGGTGGAGTCTGTGTCACGGTCGTACATGTTGAGTCGGGGGTTGAATCTCGGATGTTAAACACACGACCCACCCGACCAAAGTGACACACACACACACACACACATACACACCGCCTGTGTCACTGTGCTCATCCAATGGCTGCCTAACAAGAGGGGCAGATGGCTGACCTTTCGGGTGTGCGCTTGCAGATTGTGACGGAGGCTTGTCTGTTTCTGAGGAGCCATGAGGGGTCAGCACGTGAGAAGTCATGTTTTGCACGAACAGTTGAGCACAAACGGAGTTGAGTTACATCCTCGGATGGAAGCTGTGACAAAGTGAAGATGTTTCCAGGCACTTTATTTACGCGTTGCAACGTTTTGCACCACTTCTCATCGGCATCGAGACGTCTTCATTGTTTTGTTTGTGGACTCTCAGTTCTCTCTCCCTCAAATTAGGCAGATCAGAGCGAGCATATCACAACCCTCAGGGATCTAAAAGGGCCATGACTGTTTATTAATTGATTTATTTATTTATCTCCTGTGCCTGCTTGGTTATTAGGTTGCCATGGGAAACAGGCTAGGCCAGATCCTCTCTATTATTAAAGACACAATTTCTTGAACTGGAGACCGAGCTGTCTGAATAATTAATTTAGCGAATGAATTATCTTGCAAACAGTTAAGTCCTCCCCTCCCTCTGAAATGAGCCTTTCTCTTATTGTTTAATGGACAGTGGAATTCCCACCAGTCTGCTTTCTCTCCGTCGAACCCTCCTCCTCCTCGGGGGTCTCACTGAGCATGCCCAGAGCACTTTGTGT